GACGATGTTGTATAGATTGTTGTCAGTGTTGTAGACGTTATTGTTTTCTTTCTCATCGTAAATGTCGTTACTGTTGTTGTTTTTGTTGATGCCCTTGATGGCGTCAATCATCATATCATTGTTAATTTCATTTCTACCACTCAATGAAGATAATTCTTTGAGCAAAATATTACTATTAGAACCGTCATTAGCAAAATTCGACGCTAGGTGACGTTTGGCTTTGTTTACAATGTATTCATCAAACTTGTTGTTTCGTTTGCTGACGTCATCACGGTCGTTGCTGAAAATATTTTTGTTGTTATCATAATAAACCAAGTTGTTGTTGTTGTTGTTTTTAACTTTATTTACGATGTTGTTTGGCTGGAAGTAGTTGTTGTTGTTGTTTTGAATGGCGAAATCGTAGAGTTTGATAGTGATGTGCTGGCCTGGCTGTGCCCTAAGTAGCCAGGGCTTGTTGTAACACTGAGCCAAATCTGATGTCACCATGCTTGCTATGTAGCCGTGGCTGGGTGGTGCCGCTGTTGTTTGGAATGATGGTTGGGGTGAGAATGATTGTATTGATGTTGGTGATGAAGGCGATAGTGATGAAACTTTGTTGTTGTTGTTGTTGTTGTTGTTGTTGTTGGCAATGATGTCTTTGCTGAAGCTATTAAAAATGTTGTGATCGTTAATATTGTTTTTGGTGTTTGGTTGTTGTTGCTGTTGTTGTTTATGATGTTTTTGCTGTTGTTGTGGTGGTGGTGGTGGTTTTTTAGCTTGCTGTTGATGTTTTCCAGGAATAAATTCAGCGGAGAAAGAAGTCAATCTTGATAGTGACAAAGACGATGACGACGATGATGACGACGATGATGCTGTTGCTGATGATGATGAGGATAAGTAAGAAGATGATGATGATGGCAGTAGTGACGATGAAGACGACGATGCAGATGAGGATGTATTGATCTCGAGAAATTGTGACTGCTCACACATTTCGCCTGTCACGTTGGCAACTGATTAAAGTAAATTAGTTTAATTTTCAAAGAAAGTGAGAAATAATGGGAGTAAAGTATAAATATTTAAAAATTTATTTGTATATATATATATATATATATATATATATATATATATGTTATTTGGACTACATATTTTTTTTTCCTGAACAATTTAAAACTTCTAAGTGAAATTATTGAATCTGGAACAATACAAATGTTATAAGATCCTTTTTTTGAAAATTTTAAATAATCTCAGGAAATTTTTTTAAAAAACACATTAAAAACAACAGTAAACAACATCAAAGATAACATCAACAACAGTTAACACCAACGCTTCATATCTGAAACGACTAAAATGTTATTAGGTCTTCTAGAAAAAATCAAAAACTCGCGAATTTTTATTTAGAATTACATTAAAAACAGCAGTAAACAACAATTTTGGCAACTATGGCATTAAGAGCACCGCGCAAAATATCAATGATACAGATTAGAACAACAACACCAACAACAACAACACCAACAACAACAACACCAACAACAACAACAGACAAACATACAAACATACTTAGCAGCTTGACACACAAAAAAGAGAATTAAAAAGAAGGGAAAAGTTGATTTTTTTTCAAGAAGTTTCCGAAAACAAAAATGCATCTGACGCCCGTTACAAACGCACATGATCAGATTATCGTAAAACTTCATTATTCCAAATTCAACCGTCAAAGAGCGTTTGACTTTTTGGTTTAAAAAAAAGACTATTTTAAAAAAAAAGAACCAATAAATTTTTTTCAACTAAAAAAAAGTTACAAAAATAAGATCAAAAACACTTTAATTTTTTATTATCAGTCTTTTTATTTTCGTTTGATTGAACTACATTTTGAAATAGCTGTTGACGTGTGTTTGAAAGATGCTCGTCGCTATGGTCGTCTGTTTCAAATTTGGAAATGTTAGCTTTTAGAGATTTGTAGGTTCTGCCTGATTTCTGATGCATTGTAAGTCCTATTCGACTCGTGCAACATTTTCCACAGCCACATGTCAACGCATAATCAGAGTAATTCGGTAAGATATTATTATTAATTGTTAATAGATTAGGAAGAATATCACTGTTGTTGTTTAATGAAACATTTAAATTTGAGTTCGGATGTAAGCTTATACACCTCTAGGAGTGTCTGTTGATAAACTTAATTTTTTTTCGAATAATAATAATAACATTGACAATAACAATAAAAAATAACAACATTGATATTAATAACAATAACAACGTAATCAAAAATTTAAATTTTTAATAATAGAATCTATCCTTTAAAATTTGCTATCGACAGATGCACTTGAAACTTTAAAGCTCACACTTTTGCGTCTCCACACACACACACACCACACACACCACACACACACACACACCATACATACACACACAAACATACACGCAAACAGACAAACACATTGGTAATGCCATTGAACTTGAAAAATGTACTTACTACTTAGTACTATCATTGCGTACTATGTATGCAGCACAGATTAAACATTGCGGTACTGCAAATACTAAAGAACAATACTGTACAGAAACAAGATTGCAATGTTATCCAGAGATAAATACATGAGTGCAAATACACATACATGAATACAATACCACAGAAATGCATCAAGAAAAAATAATTAGAAGATGAATTCTTCAAATTGGACAGAGGAACTAGTCGTAAAGCAATAATATTAGTGGTAGTAGTAGTAGCAGTAGTAGTAATAGCAGTTAAAGGTTTAAGGTTAGTAGTGGTAATATTAGCTGGTAATATTAGCGATGATGATAATAATAGTGGTAGCAGTAGTCGCAGTAGTAGTCGTTGTAGTAGCAGTAATAGCTGTAGTAGTGGCAGCAGTAGTAGTAACAATTACTAAAGTAGTAACGGTCGTAATGCCAGGTGTTTAAAAAGTAAATTATTGACATTCATGTCATGATCAAGTCAATTATTCCCTCATTCATTTTCATTTACACAATCGTCTATGGATTTCATTTTTTCCTCTCTCTCTCTCTCTCTCTCTCTCTCTCTCTCTCTCTCTCTCTCTCTCTTTCTCTTTCTCTCTCTTCCTTTACCCAATTTTTTCTGGCTTTAATGTTTTTTCTTTCACAATTATTTTTTCAATCTTTCTCACTTTCTCACTTTCTCTCCTTTTCTCATCCTCCCTCTTCTTTTATTAGTTTTCTTTTTTTTCTTTCTCTTCCCTCTGTCTCTCTCTCTTTTTCTCTCTCTTTCTCTTTCTTTCTTTCTCTCACTCTCTCGTGTTCACCTTTTCACAAAGCATATTAGTATATTCAATAAAAGATTGCTTTCAAAATTTTTTTCAAACATTGTTGAACATTGCGTAGCAAAATGTGTATGTTCTTCTTCGTTTGTTGTCTACAGAAATATGGGAAAAAATACCGTCATAGAGTAAAGCAGAGTCATAAGTAATAGTAGAATCAGTAATTTTAACCAAATAGCTTCACTAAAACTTCAAAACAAATAACCAAAAAAAATAATATAAACAATAAACAAATAGCAATATTATGCTGGGCATCGTGTGACGTCAAACAACACGTGACACATGATTACGTCATCAATCAAAGTTCAAAGTAGTAGTAGTAAATGTTGATGTTTTCGATAGAAGTTTGTTGTTGTTGTTGTTACTGCATTATTTTTGTTGTAGTTAGTTGTCAGAGTATGTTGTTTGTATGTTGTTTTGCTCTAATGTTGCTATGCAGTGTGTTGTGTTGTGTTGTAAAAGTCTACATCATCAGAAAAGAAAGATTTGCCTTCATTTGCTGAATTGCAAATGTTTTGCGAGAAATAAAAAATTTGAGTGTAGGATAAGAATACAAAGTATTTAGCGACATGTCATAGCAAGATTTTTGTTAATGTTTATAAAATTAATTAAAAGAAATATCTGTAATTGTATTTTTTATTTATTTTTGTTGAAAAATTTAATACTTCCATAAAATATACATTTGATTTATTTTGCAAGTCGTCGTTGTCCAAAAAATTAAAGTCGTCGTTTTGCCACTCAATTTTAAAATTGATGGACACGATAACAGCTGGTGATAGCGTCAGGTAAGTGTGAGCAATTAAAATTATTCAAATTGCATCGCGATTAAATTTTGTTGGAAATTTTTTTCTCATAAAAATCTAAAATTTTTATTTATCAATAAAAATAAACATTATTAAATTGAGAATTGAGAAATCATTTACTACTTCTACCACTACTACTACCATCACGACTACTAGTAATGCTACTACTACTACTAATTTTGCAGCAGCTGCTGCTAAAAGCTAGTGAAGCCACGCATAATAGAAAACGCCTGTATTGGATTTCTTTGCTTTTGAAGCCGGAAACTGCGAAAGCAGAAGCAAGCAGGTTAACCACTTCATCATCTGGCCACCCGACACCTAATGACGAAAGCGTTATTTTTTTACAAAAAAAAACACTTGTACACGCTAATGAATAAATTGAAACAAAAATGAATAAAAAACGAGTTAAAAAATTGGGAACGTGATAAATTAGTCCCTGAGACATTTTGTTTTCGACACGAGATGGCACCGGTGAAGAAAAATGCTTCTAAAAAGTCAAATTGCGAAATGTGAAGTTATGCATTAATATGGCGTTAAATAACTGACTGCTGGTGATCGGCCTGCAGGGGCTAACGTGTAAGTCTTTTGAGAAAAAAGTTAAGTCTTTAAAATCTATTTGAAATTTCTCTCTGTCTTAGTAGATGTATGTTTCATGCGACATGTAGCGTTTCATTTTTTATATAAAATTAGCTTCACAACTCAACTAGATACAAATAAATATGTGCTCAGTTAATTATTTACTGTAACATGACATCGTGAAAAGTTTAAATAGTATGTCACTCTTCTTACAACAACAAAACAGAAAGTCAGAATTTACAAACAAACATAAAAAAAAGTTAAAAAATCAAACACAAAAGAAAGAAAAAACAAAATGAACAAAATGGAGTATTTGTTACTGTTTGTAAATTATAGAGCAAAACAAAAAACAAAACAAAAAACGCAAAAAAAGGCAAAAAGCAAAAACAGACAACGATCGAGTGTTGGGAAGTTCAACATTCTTCGTCAGTTACTTGGCTATCAGCCCTAGGACTGCATGCCTGAGTTTTATTGAGAAGCTGGATTAGTAGGAGATTGTGTTCAGCATGTTAATATCTCCAGAAGGATGGATTGAATGAATGAATGAGTGAACGAACAAACGAACGAAAGAACAAACGAAAGAACGAATGAGTGAATTATTGAATTAATGAATGAATGAATGAACGAACGCACAAATGAATGAATGAATAAATGAATGAATAAATGAATGAAGAAATGCATTAGTGGAGAGATGGATAAATGATTAAATATTTGAATTATTGAGTAGATGGCAAAAATTTAACGGAATGAATGAATGAATGAATGAATGAATGAATGAATGAATGAATGAATAAATGAATGAATGAATGAATGAATGAATGAATGAATGAATGAATGAATGAACGAACGAACGAACGAATGAATGAATGAATGAATGAATGAATGAATGAATGAATGAATGAATGAATGAATGAATGAATGAATGAATGAATGAATGAATGAATGAATGAATGAATGAACGAACGAACGAACGAACGAACGAACGAACGAATGAACGAACGAACGAATGAATGGATAAAGAAAAAATATTTTTTATAAATGTAGGAATAGGTTAACAGATGGATGGATGAATGAAGAGATGGTTGAAAGATTGATAGATGAACAAAAAACAACCGAAAAAACTAACGAATGAACAAACGAATGACTGAATGAAACAAATAAATGAAATGAGTGAACAATTACAACAGTAGACAGATGAATAAATAATTTGATGGATGAATGGAGAAATTTTCGTCCGGTGAACAAATTGACGCATCGATAGACAGATTGAAAAATTGATGACTGCATTAAAAAAATATTCCAAAAAATGGAAAATAATTTTTTT